CCCTCTGATGACCAACATTTTACCAAGCCATCCGCTGTGGTTTATATGTCGCAAAAATGTGGTATTTATTCTAGAAATTGGGGAAACTCCAGTATAAACTCATCTAGGCTGACATTTTCCCAGCAAGCCTAGCTGGCTATAAATAAAACCTCTTGATGAGAAATTGATCCTGTTTTGAACCCTCTCTGATCTTCCCAGGTTTTCTTATTCGCCTGACACAAATCAATTCAGCTACCTCTGGAGAAAGAGATGTCAAAACACCTACAAATACCTTCTCCCAAAATATTTCTAGCGTGACAAACTGAACCAGGGTGGGGGTGGGGGGATTTCTAGAAGTGTGGTGAATTTGAAAAAGAATTTAAAAAAAGCTGCATGTCCTTTTAAAAATACAAACCCCACTCCCTTCTAGCACTGATGATGTTGCCTAGTTGGGTCATGAAACGTCTGCAAGAAAATCACCAAGCTCAGAGAGCACCAAGGACCCCCTCATGTCAACTCTGAGCAACAAATATTCTCCTTTATTTGGAATAATGAAAAGCCCAGGTAACACGAGCAAGTTAGAATTTTTCCCCCTTTTCTCAGTGGGGAGATCCATCTCTTTGCCACCTTACAAACTTTTTAAAGGTGTGGGGATTCTAGAGAAAATGTGGCCTGTCTCATTGTGGTACAGACTGCTGGGATTGCCAAGTTTTTTCTTCTTCTTTTTTTTTTTGCAAAAAATAAAAACGATGTCTTGCTATTCTCTCTCCCCCCCCCCCCCTGTATTGTGAGCGACAGGCTCTTGTATTTAACACCCGTTGCTCACTGTCAGTGGCAACCTATCCTGGTGGAAACGAGAACAGCTAAGCAGCTTTGATATCTGGACCTAGAGACAGCTCAGAAATTTAGGCTAGCTGAGAAAACACGCTGGAAAAAAAAACACTTAGAAACCCAATTCTATGCAATCTAGATGGATGTATCTGTGAAGTCACCAGGAAGTGACTGCGTGACAATCATTACTGCAGCCCAAACGAGCAGATGTGAATGTTAAGGAGTGATTTTTTTTAATTTAATTGATATCCTGTTTTTTTTTATATAAACAATTCAAGATGGCACAATGCTCCTTCCTCCCATTTCCCCTGCAAACGCAACCCTGTGAGGTGGGTTGGGCTGAGGCCTAAGACACCCATGCCTAAGACAGAGCTAGAACTCACCATCTCCTGGCGATGGGCGCAAAGTCACCCAGCCAGCTTTCACGGCTAAGATGGGACTAGAATTCATGGCCTCTTTGCTTGCAACCCTGTCCCTTAATTGCCAAACCAAATTGGCCTTCATTGCAATATTTCCCCACAACAACAACAACGGCAATCCTTTGGGCTGAGAGAGAGAGGGACTGGTTCTAAGTCAACCAGCTGGCTTTCATGCCTAAGGCAGGTACTGGCCTGATGCCTTAACCTCAGCAACCTACGGTAGCTACTACCCTTTGCAAGTACAGGAGGAGGAGAAAAGGTATTGCTAGTTGCGCAACCACGAAAATATTTACCTAGATGCAGGCGAGAGGTCCATGGGAAAGCCTGCCAGAAAGAGGTTGAAGCGAGCTTGGAACTCTCAAACAAGTTTATAAAAGCAACCAGCGTGCAACAGAAAGATTTGCTACTTGGTAAGAAACACTCTGGAGTTCCCTTTCCTCCTTCATTGCCCTCTGGAGAGCGGCTGCAAGGAAGGCTGAGGTAGTCCCACCCCTCGAGGATTGATGGGGGGAGCTGGGGCCAATGGATTTATTTTATTTGGTGGTAATGCTGTGTTTCCCCCCCCCCCTCTTCCTCCCTGGGAGGATTCGGGGACAGGCTGCCCAATAAGATCCTATTCTTAGAGGTTAAAAACCTAGCAAAAAATTAGGCAGCTTCAATGGGTTTTTTTTAAAAGGCTCCGTGGGGGGGGGCAGAGAGAGAGAGAGAGAGAGAGAGAGAGAGAGAGAGAGATGGACCTGAGTGAAGACTTCACAATGGACAGTAGTGTAGCTTATATCTATACTTATCTATTTAATGTGTATCGGAGGACCTGAGTGAAAACTTTATGGTAGACAGTAATTTATATTTTAAATGGAGAGAGAGAGAGAGAGAGAGAGAGAGAGAGAGAGAGAGAGAGAGAGAGAGATGGACCTGAGTGAAGACTTCATAATACACAGTAGCCCATCTTGAAATGGAGAGGCTAATTTATATTGATATCTAATCCATGCATGAGGAACTGAGAGAAAATTAAATGGTAAATAGATAATTTGTATCTTTAAATGTAAAGGCAGGGTGATAAAGGTCCTGAGTAAAGACATGACTCTGGTTTTGTGTGTGTGTATGTGTGTTTTGTTTGTATTTCTGTCTTTGTGTGTTTGTGAGTATTTCTTTGTATTTTTGTTTCTCTTCGTATGTCATTTTGTGTGTGTGTGTGTGTGTTTTTGTGTCTTTTTATTTCTTTTTCAGTTTGTCTTTTTGTGTGCTACTATATATGTGATTGTGTGTGGTTTTGTGGTTTTTTTGTGTATTTGTTTCTTTGTGTTTGTGTGTTTGTTTCTCTCTCTCTGTGTGTGTGTGAATGGACTTGAGTGAAAACTTCATAATGTACAATAGTGTAGCCTATAGCTATGCTTATTTAATTTGTGAGTACCTGAGTGAAGACTTCATGGTGGATAGTAATTTATATTTTGGGGGGGGGGGAGAGAGAGAGAGAGAGAGAGAGAGAGAGAGAGAGAGAGAGAGAGAGAGAGAGAGAGAGAGAGAGAGAGAGAGAGAGAGGTGGACCTGAGTGAAGACTTCACAATGCAGGTTTGTATCTATGCCTATCTATTTAACCTGTAAGAGAGGACCTGACTGAAGACTTCATCGTGCACAGTAACCTATCTGCCTGTCTATCTAATCCACACCAGAGGACCTGACTGAAGACTTCGCCCAGCCCATATGAGGAGGTTGCTAGTTTACTGAAGCTTAAGGAAGTCTGGATTGAGGGCTGTAGGATTGAGGGACCCAGCAGGATTTCTTCCTAGGGTGTATCGAATTTGGGGAGGGGGGGTGGTCCTAGTAAGCAATGTGGATGAAAAAAAAACCCACCCCATGCCTGCTCAGAAGTAAACACAGATGAGTCTGTCGGAGTTAAGCAGGGGTCAAAATGTTACAGACTCTCAAAGCACTTAGCCTGCCATAAAAAATATGAATTTTAAAAGAAGGGAGAAGCAGGACGTTAGCTGGAGCAAAGTTGAGCACCCGAGTAAATTTTCCAGTTCTTCTCCTTTGGGCTTAATTTAAGGCCATGTTATTTTTCACCCTTGGCCTCTAAAGAGGAATGTTTGATGTTTTTTTTGGAGATTTGGCAGTTTTGCTGTTATCGGGGACAGAGATGATAGAACACTGAAGTTCCCCCAACAAAATAATCTTTATTCATAAAGTATGGGCGGCTTTTAAAATAAAAATAAATAAACTATCACCAAATCATTTTTGGCTTTCCAACAGCTGAGAACAGCTGGATACGTCCGTGCCCAAACTTTTGACTTTTCATATAAAGTATGGAATCCTGCAAGTAGAAAGCTAGCTGATCAGGGGACAATTCTAGACTAGCCCGTTCCTTGAAGGCTTAGTGATCTACTTGCAAGCAGCTTTCTGAAAGAGTTTGGCGGGGAGACTGCGTCTCCATTCAGGATGCAACCATTTCAAGGATTTCACCCTGCTTTTGTTTTTAAACTGATGCTCGTTGCCTTGTTGTTGTTTCCCTTCCTCTGCGCTAAAAGATGGAGAGATGCAGGAGAGACGAAGGGATGATGAAAGTTCTATGGACAACAGGAACGTTCCAGAACTTTGCTGTGGAGCTAGGAAGCACACCGAGGACCAGAGAGATGAGAAGTCTGGGCGTTCGGAAGCTCCAGCTTGGCAGCCTCAGGGATCTGATTGTCTCCCTTCCATCTTCCTGGCAGTTTTCCTGGCCTTCGTCTTTGTCTCCGTGTCAGTGGTCCTGCTTTGTCATGAGAATGTCCACCTTCCTTTGAAGGACCTCAAGGCCTTGAGTCCCCAGAGTGTTCACCTGCCCAAGGAAGTTGTCCAATCTCTTCATCTTTTTTTCCCAAACCAGCTGGAATCCACCTGGTGGACATTCCTGCGATATGTTGGCAACCCGTTGGGGAAGTCTCATTTGGAGGAGCCTTGGATCCTGGTTGGAATTGGCCCTGGAGATGCAAGCCGGACCCTTCTCTGCTTCACGAAAATGATGCTGTCCTTACTGACTCAGCACAAAACCACAAGTGTCGAGTTTCTGGACTCAACCAGCCCTTGGCTTCCTCCGATGGGTCCTTCTGAAAACAGGACCTGGGTGATCGCTAGCGTGACGGTTCTTCGGGGAGAGAAGAGTCTCCTGAGTGGATTGGTGGTGTCCTTGCGAAGTCTCCCGAACGGAAAAGGGGAAGCCACCAAGAAGACATTTGCCCTCGTGGGGAAGGGCGTGGACCAGATCTGGGAGAAGTTCCTGCTGCAAAGATCGGTCCCTTCCTTGATCTCTGGAATTTTGAGCTTGAATCCCGATAGGGGACCAGATGAGATGATGGTTGACCAGGAGAACTTTCTTGTCCTCTTCATCACCTTTGAGCAATATTTGGAAAGTGGGTTGGTTTGCTAAAGGAGGCTTAAGTTCTATGTGCCGTCCTTTCCTTCCCCAGAGAGGTGTCTTCTAATCAACTGGGGACAGGTGGAATGAAAGGCCTACCCTAACAGGGTACCAAGGAGATAGAATGTCAGGCAAACTTATCTGGGAAGTGGGAAAATTGCCATGATTTATGAAGGGACAGGGGTGAAGAACAGTGTTCAGGCTAGGGAAGTGAAGATCTGCAAGTAGGAACCCAGATTTTCTGTGGGCCCGAGTATTTATTAGCACCCATGAAATAAAGATGGAAGAGTGGACCTTACAGGTTTCTTTGTCGTGAGGATCTGCCCAAGAGAATGACCCTAGAGCAGTGTTTCTTCCACTTTGTTTCTTCCCCTTAAAATGTATGGACTTCAATTCCCAGAATTCCCCGGCCAAAAAGGACAAATTGTCCAGCCTCTCCCAACTGTTGCAATCCAGACCGCGAATAAAAGTCCTGCAATCTTACTTGTAAACGGATGATTAAACACACGTTCTGCTACACCTGTACTTAAAAGCTAAACTTCATTAAAACCTGAACTATCTGCCGAGCCAGGGTGTGGGAACTGTCCAGTGTGTATGTTTACATTTTAGCAAAGTCCCCAGAGCTTCCAGTAAAGATATCTGGCATTTTAAAACGTTGAGTCTCTTCTTTGTTGCTCTCAACCCAGGCACTGCTGACATGGGTTAAGGTTGGGGAAAGGGGCTGTGAAGGTATGTGAGAATGACCTTTGGAGAAAGAATGGCAGACCAAGCCATGGTTAGATAAGAGGCAGCTGGGCCCAGAGAAGGGAAAGGGGGGTGGGTGGGAAACATCTCACAAGACGTACTTTCAGATTTGCAAGGTTCTCTTAACGTCACCTTACCATAACATTTAGAGCCAGTACTTCTGGTGTCCTCTTATCTGGACTACCTTGCTAGGCTGACAGGTGATGAGTTCTGGTCCAGCTGCTTTCGTTTCCAGGGGAATGAAATAGGGGAGAAACCCTACGTTTTGGGGATCAACACCTCTTCCTTCAAAAAGGGCTCTCAGCTACACAAACCTTGGCCAATGAAACCGCCGAAGGGACAAGAAACCTGGCAAACAGGAGATGGCCCAAATCAGCTCACGTTTTGTTTGCTACCTGGGCCGAGAGCCCAGCGTTTCTGACGCTCCCCGAGGGCACCTTAGTTCTGGCCGCAGGTTGGGGAGAGAGAGAGAGAGAGAGAGAGAGAGAGAGAGGGAGGGAGGGAGGGAGGGAGGGAGAGAGGGAGGGAGGGAGGGGAG